CGCGGCGGAGGAGGGCCGCTCCCGGCTCCGGGCCCGTCCGGGGCCCCGCGCAGCCGCCGGCAGCCTCCGCAGGGGCACGACGGCCGGGGGGAGCCGCGCCGGACCGCCCTACGGACACGGGCGGGCGCGGGCCGGGGGGGGGGGGCGCGTCTTCCCCGCCCGCGGGCGCCTGCGAGGCCTTCGCCCGGTCGGGAGGCCCAGCCCGGCCCGCTGCGATGGAGGCGCGTCGCAGCCGCCCAGCCCGGGGCAGCGGGGCCGATCCCCGCGCCACGCTTCCTCCTACCTGCAGCGGCTCGAGCAGCTCTCGCGGCCTGCCCCCCGTGCGATCCCCGGCCTCGCGTAGCGCGCAGCGCCCGGCGCGGCGGGAGAGACCAGCGGAGGCTCGGGCGGCTGGAGGGGCAGGGGCGCGGCTGAGCGCGGGGCGGCGCGGGGCGGGGCGGGGCGGGGAGCAAGAGGCGCGATCGCAGGATCGGGGCCGCCCTCTGCCGGACCGCGCGGAGAACTGCTCGCCGGAGGAGACTGCGGAGGGGCGGGGCCGGCGCGGCCGCTCCCCGCCGTGACGCGCGGGCGGCTCCCCCCGGCGCTGGTCCGGCTGCGCGCCCGTCACTCCGGCCGGCCAGTCGCTGCGCGGGGAGATCGGACTGCCACGCCCATCAGCCTGGCTGGCAATGATGGGCGTTGTAGTGCTGCCTGCCGCGGCACCTGCGGCCCGCTCGCGAAGTTCCACCGAGTTCAACGCAAGGCGCCGCACGCCTGCTTGGGAAATGCTCCCGTGCTGGGAGGCGCCGGGGGGGGGGGCCTCGTTCCCGCGCCCCCCACGAGGGAAGAATAGGCGGAAATCGCGCAGCGACTCGATCCCACGGAACGGGACATTTCCCGGAAGTTGCTGCCAAATCTCTTTTCAGACTGCCTAAAGATCGCCCCCCAAGAGGCCAGCTTGCCGGACTCCCCCCGCAGAGCGCGGCCTGCCGCTGGGCCCCCCGGTTGGCCTTTTCAGGGGGTACCGCACGGGAAGCGCTCCAGCCCCAGACACGGAGGCGCTGGGTATTGACTGGTCAGCAGTGACGCTCACAAAATGACTCCCAGGAGAGGCACCACTGGTGGAAAAACAGGCAGAGAACTGGTCTTTGCCCCTAAATCAAAACCACACAGAATTAAAAGCACACAGTGCGGAGAGAGGCTTGCGGGTGGCGCTGCTGCACGGGGATGCAGGGGCCACAGGGCCCCGTTATGCGCGAGGCGTGCAGAAAACGCACCTCCAGCCCTCCCTTGCTTTTGAAGTGATCCGATCTCAATATCCGAAAACGCCACGGCCAGGCCAGGCCAGGCCAGGCCAGGCCAGATCATAATGGGCTTGGCAGGTCAGCGACCTTCCTCAGCAACTGATTTCAGCATACCAAAACCAGCCGTAAGACTCTCTGACTGCGCCAGAATAGGATACTCCACTGCACTGTTCCTTTTCTGGCCAAGACCCGAGGTGTCGTATTTCTTCACCAAGAACAGACATTTAGAACAAGGATCATGGGGCAGTGAAGCTGAGCCCAGCTTTTAAGGGGTGTTTCGATTGCCCGGATTGCCAGTCAGCCGTAGCTAGCAAACCTTATTTCACATGAAAAGGAGAATAGCGGAACGTCATCATCCAAGGTGAGAATCACCCTGTCCATCCAAATCCACCAAAGAAGCATTTTCTTGCTGAGCTTTAAATCTGGGTTTCCCCACAGAGTTAATTTTGCACAAGGAAATTAATGGATGTGAAACTGTGTGTCACACTTCCCTGGCTGCAGTGCGGAGGCACTGTACTGCCGTTGTCTCTCTGGAGTTCTCATTTGGGCTTGATGGGGGAGAGATGGTGATCCAACTGTTTGTTTGTGGCAGAGGAGCTGTGGAAGAGAGGGCAGTTCTGAATGAAGCACTCTTGGGCTTGGTCAAGGAAACCACGAAACCTCAGATTCAACTTGCATCTCCATTTCTCCAGCTCTTCTCCACTTCCCTGTTTTCTAGCACTGGTGGACTTTTGAGTAAAAATGGATTCCCCAACCCCCAATTTAGAGTGATTTAAAAATGCTGGGGAAAAAAATCCTAACCATTTTAAGTATAAAAGAGAGTCACATGAACAGCTATTTCACCAGGTTAACTGGGGTACTGTGTCCAGTCCTGGGCACCACAGTTTAAGAAAGATGCAAACAAGCCGAAAAGGGTTCAGAGCGCAGCAAGCATGATCCAGAGACTAGGGGGAAAGCCCTGTAAGAAGGGATGGAAAGAATTTGGGGATGCTTAGTTTCATGAAGAGAAGACCGAGAGGGGATATGATAGCACTCTACAAGTACTTGAAAGGCTGCCACAAACAGGAAGGCCAGATCTCTTCCCAAGCATCCCAGAGTGGAGGATACAGAATAACAGGGTCAAGTTCCAGGAAGGCAGGTTTAGGCTGGACATCAGGAAAAAAAACCCTGGCTGTTAAGAGCAGGAGAACCATGGAACCAGTGCCCTGGGAAAGGGTAGACACTTAGGATGTATTTAAGATGCAGCTGGACAGCCACTGGAGGGGTGATTGACTGGAGCCTGCACCCTGTAGGGGTTTGGACCCAATGACCCTCTGGGCCCTTCCCACTCTGCTATTCTATGATTAAACAGTTTTATAGCATCTATTTTATAGGCATCTATTTGTAATAATTACAAACCACTTTGCATCTGAGAAAAAATCCTGAGTGTTGAGCAGTGTTTTTTTTAAATGTCAAAACACAAAACAGTAAGGATAATTTAAATCAAATTGCACCAATAAAATTGTGCTTGGGCTTTCACCCAGGGAAGTTTCGTCTAAATAACTGCATCTTTAACAGAAACTAGAAACAAAGTCCCTCTGGAGCCTACCGAGCACTCCACAGAGAGCAGGAAGGCTTCACACCGGGTGGGCTAAGGAGGACCACCCGGCAGCCCCCGATCTGAGGACAGGCTGATCCGGGGCAGGGCGGCTTTCTCGTATCCTGGCCCCAAGTCGCCTGGGGCTGATCCGCCTGCAAGGCAGGCTGGAACCAGGGCCAGACCCGTGGGCAGCTCCGCCGTGGAGGCGCTGGAAGGAGCCTCTCCCGAGGCCGACGGCGCCGCTGCGTTCCGCGGAAGCCCTCTTAGGATCCCGCGCTGGCTGCGCCACCGGGCCAAGGCGCTCCGCTGCAGGAGCCGGGGCGCCCACTGGACTGGAAGCGGGCTGGCCGCCCCAGGACCGTGGACCCGCCGTGGGGCTTCCAGGAGAGGCGCCCAGCGCGCCCGGGCGTGCTGCGAGCCCCGGGCCGGGGGCGCCGGGCCGCAGGCGGGACACGCGGCTCTGCCGGCCCGCCCGCCTGTCCCAGCCGGCTGTTCCGCGCCGGGGGAGCGCGCTGACCGCGGCGCCCCCGGGTCCCTCCGCCAGACCACGAAGCCCTTCAGCCGGCCAGGCCCTCCCCAGCCGCGACTCCCATCATCCCCAGCCGAGACCGGGGTCGGGGGCATCCCAAAGCACCCCTCCCTTCCGCCACGAGATCGGAGGAAGCCTCCTGGGCGGCCGCTCTACCTGAGTGCGTCTGCGCAGCCCCGCCTTCGCCGCCAGGAGCGGCCCTTCTGCGCACGCGCCCCGCCGCCTCCCCCTCCCCCTCCCCCTCCGTGCGCGGCGGCCATGAGCGGGGCTCCGCTGGTGAGCTACAGCAGCTCCGGCTCGGAGGACGAGGGTGGCCGCTCCTCGCCCGGGGACGCGGGGGCCGCTCGGCCGGACGATGGCGCGGGCGCCCCGCCCGGCCCTCCGCGCGCCAGGTGGGTTCCGCCGGCCCTTCCCTTCCGCTCGCCGACGCTCCCCGGGCGGGTCGGACTACGGCTCCCATGATGCCCCGCGGGCTGCGCGGGCTGGGCACGACGGGAGTCCGGCCGGGCGGGGCTGCGCGTGCTTTGCGGCTTCCCGGATATTTCAAGTCGAAGTCTTGTGCTGTGTTGCAACGGAAAGTTAACCTGGTCCCTTTTCGTTCTTAGACCACATAAATAGGCGAATTTAGATTACTCTCTGGGGCCTCAGAACGCTTCCCGGCGTAGATTTCCCGTTGCAAAGATCCCTAATCGCCATGGGCAAATTTTCCGGTGCACGGTTTCCCTGAAGCCCCGTGCCCTCCCCACCCGTGCCTCTTTCCCATTTTGGGGCTGGCTGTGCGCGAGGGCAGCTTTCGCTTTTCCCAGGCCATGTATTATTTCCAGGTCTTGTGGGGTGCGGGATGTGGCGTGTGGGACTGGCTGCCAGCTTCATTTCTGTGATAAGCTTCGGCACCTGTCTTTGGGCTCGAGAAGCTCCCAGAGGAAAAGAACCCCGATGTTGGGAGCTCAGAATCTGAAACTCTGACTTGCTTATTTCCCAACCTTACAGGCAGGCGAAATCTCAGTTCCTCTGTATCTTGCACTGCTTACAGTTTTTCCTCACTGACTGCCATCACCGGCATCTAATCCCAAAGTCTTGCGTGCTTTTTACAGCAGCCCATTGCTGTGGCCGTGCGGGTCTGCAGCTTGGGTGCGATGCCCGGGGAACAGGGGTGAGCAAAGCTCTCAGGAATCAATAGAGGGGGAATCTCTCTCTCTTTCTGACTCTCTCACAGTGCGACAGTGCCCCGACTCCCCGTGCCAGACAGTGTACTAAGTATGTTCAGAGACCGGGAGGAGGCGGAGGCGGTGGTGGACGACAGCAGCAAGCATGGTGGCCGCCTGCGAAGCTTCCCCCACGAGCGAGGCAACTGGGCGACGCATGTCTACGTGCCTTGTGAGTCCAGCCCCCTCCCCGTCCTCCTGCTCCATGTTCTGCGTGGCGGTGGAGTGCCATTCCATTGGACAGGAGCAGCTCTTTCACATCTGTCTGCAGCTGGCGGAGCATCTTTAACGGAAGTGTCTTTCTTTCTGCACTTAAAGCATTTTCACCCTGCCTTTTCCTGAAATGGGTCTCGAGACAGCTCACAAAATGATAACAGCATGTTAAAGTTTATGAGGCTTTAAAAACACCGCCGCCTGCCTCACTCACAGAATTTTGCATGGCACTGGAGTGTCATCTTCCATTCACAGCCTCCCTGGACTTTCCCACTATTCCATCCATTTATTCTTTTACCATAGAAAATCCATTAGAGAGAAAGGCTCAGTACCCACAACAGGCCTTCTAATGAGAAGCACTTGGGAGCCTTCCATCTGGAAGCATCTTTTGTTCCCACCAACAAAACCAGAGCTCACAGGGCTGTTTTTTTATGGCATAAACTAAAAATCCACCAGAGTCAAGTCTTGCACATTAAGTGCTTTGCTGTACAAGTGCAAAAACAAAATCAGTGCTGGGAGAATTTCCTGCAAGTGTGCTGCATGCAGCCTTTTCACACTCGGAGCAGGGCAAGCCCACGGTCCATCTGGCCATGCTATGTAGCTATAAACATAAACTGTCGCTTTCTGAATAAAAAAGCAACATCCTCGAATATCAAACAATTATGTAGCACTTTTACACAATAATGAGTTGCTGACAACAAAAATAAAATGGTTAAGATAAACAATGAAACAATGAAATTCTAAGTGAAAAAAGAGAACAAAAACACCAGCATTGCAGCAGCAATAAATCATAAAGCGATGAAAAGCCACAACAATGCCAAAAACCAAAGCTTTGGAGAGGGACAAGGACCAACCCTGTGCGTCCAACAATTAGAAATGAACAAATCCATATTTTAGTTTTCATTTTTCTAATTTCAAGTCCATTCCATCCTGTTTCTGCATGTTTGCATTTTTAAAAATATTTTTAAAATATTTCCACAATAGTGTTTTCTTTATGAGCTCTTGCCCTCTTTATATGCCGTAACTGGAGAACCACACTGCAAAATTGAGTGGAGCTCAAATACCAAAGAAAGCTGCGTTTTGGTTGTGTATCGCTTTGAGAAGAGATAATCCAAGTGAAAGCCAAGCAGGAAGAGATGGTTTGCCCGAGGCTCCCGAAGAGTTAAGGGCAGGGGCATAATCCGAGCGGGAGCCCTTCTTGGCTTGTGGCCTTCGGTTGCCTTATTGTGCTACCTCTCAGTGTGTGCAAAAATAGTTTGCTCAGCAGCACAGCTGCTGGCTTTGGGGATACCCTGCTGGGCCAGGGCGAAGCGTATCTTCTGAATGGGCAAAGTACATGCTGGTCTTTTTTCCTTCATCAGCCTGCCAATTACCCTGTAACTTCCATTTTGTAGTAGAGAGCTGAGGCCCAGGACTCTGCGACTCCAAGACCACCTGGGTGTGCCTCAGCTGAGCACAGATTCTAAACATATTCCAACCATCAAAATCATACCAGGGCAACTCTTTTTTTCTAACCCTAACCCTAATATAGGGGTAAAGTTCCACTGAAAGGAGGGCCATTTTGAAAAAGCCTTCCTTGAGTAGCTTTTTCTGCACAGCTCATCATTTCTGCCCATTCTAAACACATTCCAAACATCAAAATCATACCAGGACACCTCGTTTTTCTAACTGTAACCCTATCCTGGTGCACACCCCTAACTTTACCTCCTTCTGCCCATTTCGTCTCTCTGCAGATGAGGCGCAAGAGGATTTCCTGGACCTGCTTCAGCTCCTCCTCCAGCACGCTCGGACCTACGTGCCTTCCCTGACGGCAGTGTCAGAATTCCACATCAGCCTCTCCCAAGTCGTGGTCCTGCGCTATCACTGGATAAACCCTTTTGTCCAGTCCCTCAAAGAACACCTGGCCACCTTCCACAGGTAAGGTTTCCTGGGACCTCCAGGCTCTTCCTTGCCAGATGTGCGGACTTAACCGTTTTAATTCACAAGCAACGATGAAACAGACCTAGGAAGGAATCAATTTCCAAGTAATGTAGCGGGAGCATAGTGAGCCAGAGGGAACGCAGCCAGAGGGAAAAAGCCCACAAAGACGTGAAAGGAGCAGACGTAGCGGTTGCAAAGCACCAGTGGAAGTACACAGGGAGAAGTGGGCCACCAAGCTACATGTCTGTCTGGGATGCACAGATGTTTGGACTATTAGCAGACAAAAGAATGAACCGGCTTTCAGAGCAGTTAGAAGGAAGAACAGGAGTCAGTGCAAAGAGTGCCCGGCCTTACCTGGATTGGGAGATACGTCGAGCGTGTGGAGAAAGGAGAGACAGAGAAGGCGGGATGCCCTCTTGACAGGAAGCACAGAAGGCCTTCCTGGAGAGCGAGTCCTGCAGATCAACAGTCTTCTGGTGCTGCTTTGATCCCTCCTCTCAGAATGTAAAAATACAAAAAGCAAGTTTTCACTGCATTGCTCCCTGGATCTGGGCAGAAGGAATGTTTCTGTGGCATATGGGTGGGTGGGGAGCACATCTTCACTGGCGTTTTCTGGTTCTGCCAAAGAGACAGGAAAAGGACCTCACAGAAGTGCGGAAAAGGCATTCAGGCCAGGAGGAGGTTGAACCTTTGGAATGGCGATCTTTTCCTGGTGCCCCTTTCTGAAGCAATGTTTAGGCTTTTCTCCTCAATTCTGATACAGAACGTGGGGGCTCGGTGGTGGGAGAGGGGAGAGAGCTGGAAAACTTTTTTTTAAAGTTTAATTAAAGGAAAAGTGGCTGCCTTCCGGCAAGGAAACAGAAAGGCTAAGCATTCCTTGGTGAGCCCTTCTGGGTTTGCCGCCCTGAGGCAAGGTCAGCATTGGCAAGAGTTCTCAGGGTGCATCGAGGAGGTCAGCAGCTGAAGACCATAGATTGGGCTCAGGCCACATCAGCACGGATGCCCAGCTGTGAGGGCCGAAGGGCCCCCTTTCCAGGCTAGGGAGGCTTTCCTGCCGCATTCCAGAGCTGAGCTGGGCTGAAAGCAAAAGCAAAGGGGTTGTGCTCGAAGGAGCAAAAGGAGCTGCACGGTTGTAGCTTGAAGCTGCTCCTGCCGGTAAGTGGGGGGCCTTAAGGGGGGCATTTTGCTCTTCTTTGGGGGGGAAGCCCCGGCCTCTGCAGCAGTTACTGGTGCGCCTGCCCTGGCAGTTTCCGTTCCAGTTTCTCTTTTGCATCTTCCCAGATGATGATGGGCTCTCCTCCATTTCAGGTTCATTTGCAGAGCAGACCACTTGAAGGTGTACACCAACGAGGCCAAAACCAGGTGGGTGAACGGTTACGGATTTGCTCCTCCGAGAGCCATGGGCAGCCACGCATCGTGTCCTGGGAGTAAAAATGCCGGTGGAGTGGTTTTGTATGCTTGCTTCATTTGCAAGGATCTGGTTGGCAGATGGGAGGCAGAGAAGGGCTGGACCCTCGGTAAACCGTGCCCAGAGCTCTTCAGGCTCCACCACCCACAGCCGCCCTTCCGGACTTTTCTCTGCTGCCGTCAACGTCTGCACAGCATTCAAGTGAAGGCGCCAGCGGCCTCTGTCTTGCCTCCTGTTGGCTTTGGCAGAGTGGGTGGAGGCTGCCGTCGCCGCCAGGGCCAAGGGGCAAGCCTGGGGCTTGCAGCGCTTTGAGGCACCACGCTCTCGCCACCTCCCTCCCGAACGCCAACACCGTTACGAACATGGTTGCTTCACTCACGGACAAAGAGAACTGCTCTGAGGCTCTCGCTCGCGCTCTTCCCGCAGGACCTTCGTGGGCTTGGAGGTTTCTTCTGGCAGTTCTCAGTTCTCGGATCTTGTTTCTGAAGTGGACCGAGTCATGGAGGATTTTAACCTGACCCCGTTCTATGAGGTGAGGCTTCCCGTTTTCCTGGTGTGTTGAGTGGGTGGGAAGAGTGCCTGCAAAAGGCACTTCAGGGATGTGAGAAGCAGCATATGGTTTAAAAAGGCCGAAATTGTACAATATTTAAATCTACCTCTGAAAGTTTTATGCCCCCTCTTCCTCAAAAAGCCAAAGCCATATGCAAAATGTGACATTCCCCATTCTGTTTTTGGGATGACTGTTTCACTGAATTCCATGTGGAAAGGACGTTTCCAGCAATCTTCCAGAGGCAGAATTCGCCACAGGGGAATGTGGCAGCACAATTTCCTTCCTTCTGTCTGTCCGTCCATCCTTTTCTCTTTCCCTCCCTCCCTCCCTCTTCTCTTTCTGTGTTTCTCTCCCTTCCGTGTGCGTTGCTGCCACGACGACAGCCATTGGGCCGGCAGCTGGAACAACGCCGAGTGCTTCTGAAGCAGGCCAGACTAGCAGCTCTCCAGAAGGAGTGTGTTCCACACGACGGCTTTCCCTAGGAAGCATCCCGCCCAGAGGTGTGGGTGGCAGGGGTGGAGGAGGGTGCGTTTAGCTTGCTCAGCAGCACTCTTGCCCTGGCCTTTGCCTCACCCCACCCCACAAGAGTGGCAAAGGTTTTGGAGATTCTGGATGGAGCATTGGAGGCTGCCTTCTCTGGCGTCTTGGTCTGGTATTCTGCAGGCCAGTCAGTACAACAAGATCATGGTGGGCCTTGCCCGGAGGCCCCATTTTATGGAAGGAAGGACGCGGCTCAGGTGGGCAACAGCGCCTCGTTGAGTTGGTGCAGCTTGCCTTGATTCCGGGTGTCTGCGTCTTCCTTGCTCCTGTGCAGAACCCATCGTTCCATCTCAGCCTCGCGTGGTGTGTCGGGAACCTCTCGAAAGAACTCCGAGGCCGGTGTCTTCAGGAGCTCCAGGTAACCAGCTGGAATGTCTTTTGCTAGGCCTGGAGTGAGCCTAGGTTTCGGGGCATCTTCCGGCTCACGAAGCAGCTGCTCCAGCCTTCCACCTGCAAGATGTTGTGGCCTCCAGCCTCTGCCAGCCCTGGTCACCTGGGCCAGCCAGGAATGTTGGGAGAGAAGCTCAAGTCTCGGGGAGGCCCCCTGGCTCTCTGCACTTTTGGGATTCCCTTTCACCTCAAAGCAACAGCTTGTTGCTTTGCAGCCTTTCTCAGTGGGAAGTTCTGGGGAGGGGGGCATTCACAGCCCTCTGTGCACCGTCCTGGTCTGCAGAGACAGAGCAGGCACAAGGAGAGGCACACGGGAAAGCCAGGCTGCCCCTGTGACCGGGCATGACCCTTAGGATAGCAGAGTCCCTGGGCCAAAGAGGGACTATAAGGCACTCTCTGATGGACAAGCTGTGGGCTCCCACCACATTGTCCTCCGAGACTCCTTGGCTCACTTCTCCCCTCCTCGTTTCTTTCCAGGAGATTGTGGATGGGTTTGAGGACTCTGCGTTCCTTCTGCGACTCCCTGGCACCGAAGTTCGTTGCAAGTCTGGCAAGAAGGTGTTTTCCTTCCCTCTGCGGTAGGAACCCTGGAGCAGCGGGCTTTGAACCTGGACTGGCTTGGCCATGGGGCAGCGTCACCCCTCCCGGTGGGAGGTGTTGCCTTCGTGGCTATCATGAATGCCTTTGCTGTGCAGCTGCTACACGGGCAGCCGCTGTTTCATTCCGGTGCAATTCTTGGGCAAGTTTTGGCAAGTGGAAATTTGGGGCACAGAAGGCGATGGTGCTCTTCTGTGAGGAAGGCAATGCAGCGACGTCTCTCGGGGAGCTCTGAGACCCGGTTGTGTAGGGGCCTGACCTGGAGGAAGGTGCTCTTCTGTTAAGAAGCCTCGGGACCCTGTCCTTTGAACACAGATGGTGCTGCACAAGCAGCTCTCGGCCCTGAGCATCCCTGTCCATTGGAGAGCAGCAAAGGCATCTGGTGGTTGTCAGGGAGGACCGTTGGCTGAAAAAAGCAAGCGTGAAAAATAGAATTACAGAGATGTTTCATGGGCTGTATCAAAAGCCAGACGAACGTATCTGCACCCAGGCTGGGTGGGGAGGAGAGAGACAGCCCTGGTTCACGGGCAGACAAACGCCAGGGGGCAGTGCTGGCTCGGGAAAGCGGCAGCGTGCGGTTCTGCCGCTCACTGTGTCTGGTTTGTAAGACATCTAGAGCCAGACTCTCTGGTTTCCAAGTTTTGTAGGGGTGACCATGACAGTTTAAGGAATTTAAGCACATCAGGATGGCTGTAGGAAGAGGCTGTGGCCATTACAAAGCTTCCCGTTGAACTGGATCCACATGCCAGTTTCAAAAAGGCATTCAGGTTAGCACCTTTCTACTATTAAAAGCATAAGCTGTCTTTTGACTGGAGAGACATTTATAAAAGTGTAAAACATGGAAAGCAATAAAAATGCGAACCCCAAGCCCAGTGCACAACATTAAAGCAAGTTGCCGATCACAACATGTATGAAATGTGCAGAGTTCTCCAATGTGTACCATATGCCACTCCTTTGCTGACAATTATTAGGAAATGGATTCGGAATAAGACTGCCTGTATAATCAGTGAGTTTTTAGAAGCCATTGCAGGGCTGGAAAAAGTACTGCAAGCGACTTAAGAGCTAGAGAACCTTCAGAAAGGAAGAACCGGCGGGGAATCGTAGCTTGCATGGGAGGACGGCTGTGTCACTACAGAGGCTTCTGAAAGTGCATTGTGCAGGTGTTTTTCTTTTCTCAGACTTGGAGGAGGCTCAAATTTATTTATTTATTAAAACATTTTTATGCCTCCCCATTCGCCAAAGCCTCGGGGCGGCTTACAACAATAAGTTAAAAAATAATTATAACATTAAATTTAAAAAAATATAAACATTAAGTTAAAAATACAAATACCAATATAAAATAAGCCGCCCTGGCCAGATAAAATCCAATAATAATAACAATTAAAATGCCGCTTAAGTAAAATGGGTGGGCAGCATTCCAGAAAGGGATTTTCTAGCCTTACCTGTAGCAGCGTGCGTGGAAAAGATGCTCCCCATTATCAGACCGCAGGCTCCCCTCGCAGCAGCTCTGCTGTGGCTCAGAGGATCAGCGAAAAGGCAACAGGCTGGGCAAGTTAAAGAAAAATCAGCATTTAGTCCTGTGCTTTTTAGACCCCAGTGATCCTACAGCAGGACATTCTAAAATCAATCTACACATATCCTTTTATTATCTTTCTTCTGAAGCATGTCTGTTTACAGTGATGCATGGACCGTCATTTCAAATTACGAAGTTTGGTTCCAACCCTTGATAAATAATACTCTTTTGCTACTCTTTAAAACAACTCTAAAGCATGCAATGCCTCATACCAAGACTTCAGTTTCTTGGATATGAAGAAATAGAGGCATTGTTATAAAAGATGTGAAAACCAGTTATTTAAACTGCTCGGCCCAAAGGCTCCCAGCACAGCCCACACGCAGTCAGTAAAAAATAAAACTCTGCTCAGTGGCGTCGAGTCTCAAAAGATGGAAGGGGGCAGCGGGGAGGAAGACATGGAAGAGCCCCCAGCAGAAAGGGGGAGTCCTTCCGCTTCCTCCCCATCTCCCTCAGCACTGCCCTCACAAATGTCTCCTGGAGACGAGAGGTGGGAGAGAACACACTTCCTTCCCGAGGGCAGTACTGTCACGACCTGGCACTTACATCCTCTTCGTTCTCTCCCGTACAGAAGCCAAGGTGGCTTACCTAGCTCAATTTATCCACACAACAACCCTGTGAGGTAGGTTAGAGAGTGAGTGACCTGCCAGTGTCCCACTGTGTTTTATGGCCAAGTGAGGACTAGAACCAGATCTCTCGGGTCCCCAGTCCGGTGCATTCGCCTCCACGCCAGCTCTCCGTGTGCACGCCTTGACGTGTGTCCAAGGACTAGGCAACCTCAGCCCAGGGGAAGCTGCGTTTGGGAGCTGCTCTCTTGTGGGCTGGCCCTGCGACAGCAGGGCATGGAAGCGGCTGTCGAGGCTCACAGAAAACCACGGTACCCTGCGTATCCTGCCAGTAAGCACGGCTTCGTTGGGGCTGCTCCTGCTGGTACACGGAAGCACTCTCAATCTCTGCTTTCACCCCCTCCGGCCAGGACAGTGCTGACCAAATGGTCCCGTTACTCCTCACTAGAGCTGCCTTCAAGATACTTCGCAGACCATCTCAAGTTAGCCGCAGCCAGCCTGGTTGCAGCGGGTTCACCAGCTTCTGCGATAAAGGAAAGCATTTCAGGCTGTTGTGTGACCTTTACGATAAGTGCACTGATGCCATGGAACATGCGATACACAACGACCCGTGAGGGGTCCCGCATCGAATCGGGCCTAGGAGCAAACATGGCAAAACAGCCTGTTGTTCTTCAGATGAATAATGAGAAGACCACCATGACGGGGGAAGCCAAAACCTGGAGAAGAAAAGGAAGGCCAACAGGAGCTACTGGGCTCCATAAAGGAAGCCGCTGCCGTGGACGTGCAGGACTCACGGACGGGGCACCTGGGAGAGGTTTTATCCACAGCGTTGCCCTAAGCTGGAGACAACTTTACGGCACACCACGACAGCAGCAGTGTTCCCCCCCCCCCTTTTTTTCCTGCAGAAAAATAATACAAAATAGACTAATGAAAAGGGAAAAAGAGAAAGCAAAAGAGAAAATACATGTGGGGGGCAGACTCTGAAGTCATTTGAGTTAATCTTATTTTGCTTTCTCGTTAATGCCAGAGCAATAAACATTTATGCTCACCCATCAGTTAGAGAGGGGGGAAAAAACCTCTTGGAAGGCATTTTATTACCTTCCTGATGAGGTAAGGAAAGAAGCGGCATCAAGCCACTGCCAGCTGAGTGGCCGGTCTCCCTGGACGTGCGCAGCAGCAGTGTTATTAATGCAACTCTGCCTTGCTCGTGCGTTTGGGGTGGTTTTCACCCCTCCTAGTTGTGTGTGTGTGTGGGGGGGTGTACCTTTTATGCTAGGTCAGGGGTCTGCAACCTTTAACACTCAAAGAGCCATTTGGACCCCTTTCCCACACAAAAGAAAACACCAGGAGCCACAAAACCCTTTTGACATCTAAAATTAAGATAACACTGCATATATTGTTTTTTACCTTTATGCTATATATGTCTTCATTATGATTTAGCTGCAGCTCTTGTTCAGTCACTAAACCCTGTTATTTTTAATCTTACATTATAAACTAGTAGGACTCCTTTCATATATTTTGAATAGGAGAATAGCTTCCTGAAGAGTCAAAGTCAGTGCTAAAGGGCTGCATGCATTAAACAGCAAACCCCATAAGTTCGTCAGCAGTAAAAGCAAATGAATCTCCCCACATATCATTAAATGTTTGGTTTTCTTCAGAAACTTTTCTTCGATTTATCCATGGTTGGCCTGCCGGGGGAAGTCGCAGATATAGGTGTGTTTAGTGACTGATTAGCAGATAAACAGTCAAGTGCTGTGCATTGTGACAGGTCCCAAGCGCAGCTTTTATCATTCAGAGGAAGGAGATGACACTGGGACAAAGAGAATCCTTGCAGCAGCATTTTGTGTAACATGAAAGTGTGCAGGAAGCTTGTTCCACTCTTTCCCTGCACACTAGCAGAGGAATGTCGCAGTTTCCTTAACCAGCCAGTGGGGCATTCCTGAGTGGATGCCTCATCATCACCTATTCATGTTTTGTAACTCGGAGCCTCGGTGGCAGATCGGCGGCTGTGCCGGCGCGTGTTTTGAGCGACAGAGCTGCAGCAGAGGGATTCAAGAGCCACGTGCGGCTCCGGAACCACAGGTTGCCGACCCCTGCTCTAGGTAAAGCTTTGCTGGAAGTCATGCTGATTCTTGACTAGAAGGCCTTCGTGGGGGCCTTTTTCCAGGCTTCTGCTACTCTGCGCATGCTTCTAAGACATAAAGCTAAGCAGCAAAGAGTGTGTATAAGGAAAGCCATCATTGGGTGTTAGCAGGGGGCACCCACAAACCTCTGTGCAGCTTTGCCACCCAGACTCTGGGAAATTCCCTTCGGACACGAGTGCTTGTGGGCAACCCAAAGGAATCTCATGGGCCTCTTTAAGAAACGGGATGCTGGCAGAGACGTGACGGGGCTCTGTGATGGGAAAGGGGTGCTCTCTCGTGGTAGGAAATAGGGCGGCCCTCAGCAAAATAGGGACACCGAATTTTCAGCTCACCCTTCTGAGTGCATCCAGAACAATGCAGCTGCTGCTGAACAGGAGGCCCCATCAGCGAGGGTGTTCGAGGAAAGGTTGGACAACCATATGTTGGGGATTACACGAGTGGAGCCAGCTGGAGCCCTGGGGTCAGACTAGATGGCCCAGGAGATCCCATCTGACTTGCTCTGTTTCATGTTGCTGTGAATATTTAGCCAAATGGGATGAAGTCCAGGACTAGTTTGATAATAAAGTAAACAGAAGGCCAGGAGTTAAATGAGAGTGCTATTTGCATCGGAAGAGGCGAAAAAGAAAGGAACTGCTTGTGTTTGCTTGGCTTATCAGTTCACCAGTGCCAGGGAGAAGCTTTCCACCAAATTACTCTATTTATATTGACTTCGCAGGAGTGCCAATGCAGGCACAGCCCATGGCCCTCAGCAGCCTCTTTGCCCTAGCTCTGATCCTGCACAGGAGTGAGGACAGTTGCAAAAGCGGCCCTGGGTGTGCTGGATCCGGGCAAGGCGGCTGAACCAAAGTTCCTCTATTCAGCTGGCAAAGGCACAGCCAAGGTCGCTGCTGGGGTGCTCAAGCCAGCGCAGGAGCAAAGGCCCGCAGAGGGTGCCTTTGCAAAGGCAGCGGGAATGGAAGAGCTCTTGCCTCAGCTCCCAGGCTGCCCGAGGTCCCCAGGAAGCCGCCCCAGCCACGATGCCCCGGCTTGAGGGCGGCTGTCCTCCAACTGCGCAAGGCCAGAGGCCGTTTCCAAGGCTTCTTTGCCACCTGGAGGGGGTTTCCGCTTGCTTCTGCCGGGCTCCTCCGGCCTTCAGCCCTGCCTGCCTCTGGAGTGCGGCCGCGAGAACCCGGGGTGGAGTTCGGCCTGGAGGACGCCCTTTGGGTCGAGGAGCTGGGTGGCGAGGAGGTCTCCCCCCACCTTTTGCCCAACTGCATCCCCGCCGGCTGGGGAGGATGGGAGTTGTAGTTGAACACCCAGGGAAGGCTGAGGGGAGGGCGGCTTCCCCCAGGAGGGTATCCTGAGCCCCGGCTCCTGCGCCTTGCAAGGCGGCCGAGCCTTGCGGCGCCCTGCAGGGGCGCTCGCCCACAGCGCGGCTTCCTCGGCCAGGGCTGGGGCTGATGGGAGCTGTAGTCCCGGGCTCCTGCAGGGCTGCCCCACGCGCGCGACGCCCGCAGCCCAGCGCTCGCCCTGAGGGCTCGGGGCCGGCCGGAGGTGGCCGTGCGGCCGGGGGCGGGGTGGCCGTGCGGCGGCGGCCGGCGACGCGCCGCAAGCCCAGCCCAGCCCAGCCC